TTCAAATATATATTCACATAGGTTACTGTCATGGTTTATGTGTGTGGCCCCCAGGCCTCATGCACTTGCATTGTGCATGTGTGATTGGTTCATTGTCTAGCACTTGGATTGGGTGTATGAGTGCTACACTGGCCTAGGGGTGGAGCCAGGATGTGATGTAATGGCAGGAAGAAGGCGTGTCTGGCTCTCTTGCCGATTTCTGCCTTGCTGTTTGCAACCCCCATGAACTGCGGCCACCATGCCACCCTGCCTTGCAGCCAACTGAGTATGGACTGAAACCTCCAAAAACTTAAGAAATAAACCTTTCCTTTCCCAACTTGGTGCATCAGGTATTTTGTCTCAGTGACGGTTAAAAAGTAACTAGGACAGTTACATAAAGGATTTTTCTGAGGCGGTTCTTATACTAGTTACCACAGCTGAAACTTTTCAAATTCCTCAGATACTTGAGTTTCTCAAAAAAACTTCCACTAAAACTGATTAAGTAATATTTTATCCACCAACTAAAGACAACAAAAAAGTAAAGCTAGACCTAATAAGCTCTTCCTCAGGAAGGAAGAGCTATTTTCTGCTTCACTGTGGATAGTTAAAATACATTTCTTCTAATTTTGTTTTACTTTCCTGTTAGAGGAATTTTTCCTAACACAGTATTTTTTTATGTTTAAAGTAAACAATGCAGAATTAGTATCAGAATAACATGAATATATCAGTGACAACACACTTATTTAAATACACAAGTATAATGATTTGATCTAGAATTAAGTGTGGTTAACTAAAATAAGCTATCAGGGATATAAAATGTCTTAAAAATATATGAAGCAATGTAAACTGGTTATAAAGTCCTAACCATATTTTCTCAAAACTGCAGAGAATTAGGCAACTTCTAGTTCTGATTATAAAGGCTGTCTCAAGTAATGTTTTACTGGACCGTAAATTGTTCTGACTACATTTCATGCCTGATAAAATCCTTATGTTTATAGTAGAAAATGTAAGCTCTTGCTCCATAAGTAATCATTTAAGTTTTCTGACACAGAAGTCTTGAATATTTTATCTAGAAAATTACATGATTAAAAGTATCATATCATTCTTAAATGATAATCATCATTAAATCATCATTAAAATAGGCAAACATAAAAGTATTTTGGTGAAAATGATATTGAAATCAATATTTTACCACAATTTACAGTGTGTATGTTTTATACATGTTTTTAATAAAATATTATAACCAAATGTGTACATGTGAATATTGATTTATTTCACTAAATGTCTAGATTCCAATAGACATGAATATATTAGTATTCTAATGGCAGTATAATTGCTAATATTGTATAATAATGAAAATACATTCTTATTTACAGGCTTACACAAACCATCTTTGCTTAAGCTAACTGTGTGGATTAAAATATGTTAAAATTAGTTTAAATTTTTCTAAATGCTTGGCAGAAATATGTAATAGAAAAGATATGCCATCTAAAAATATGTCTAGAGTCAATTGCCTCTATATTTAGTTCTCAGGTTCCTGTTGTATCAGTCAATCTCTCTTTCATTTAAAAATCTTTTTGTCTTTTGGGGACAAGGCCTTGTTCTTTAGTTCAGGTTGGCTTTGTACTCTCTTTGAAGCCCAGGCTGATCTTGTACTCACTTTGTGGCCCTAGCTTGCCCAGAACTCATGACAATCCTCAACTTCTGGAGTGCTGGGATTATAGGGATGTGCCACCACACTGGCCCTGTATCAGTCAATCTTATTAACATGACTGGATTAAACACTGCTAGAGATAAAATTGAATCATGAAGGCATGTATTGGTCAACTTTCTCATTTCTAGGTCAAAATACTAACCCCCTGTAACCCAAGGGAGAAGAAATTGATTTTGGATCATAGCATTCAGTCCATGATTGATGGGTTCCAGGGCAGGCTCCAGGGCAGAATATCATGCAGCATGGCATGGTGGAGGAAATCTGTTTACTCCATGGCAACCAGGAAGCAGAGACAAAGAAGGAAGAAAGGAGCCTGAGGCAAGAACATAGCCTTTCATGCCTCTAGTGACTCACTTCTGACCACACCTCACATTCTACCAGCATACTTAATCATGAACTCATAAGTAGATTAATCCCCTGATGAATACAGCACTGTCATGTTTTAGTCACGTTTCAAAAGCCCATCTCTGAAGCATGAGATTTTTGGGGGCCACTTTATAGCTGAACAATAACAGGGTGCTCTACCCATCAGTGAATTAATCCAGTGGTGGTGTTGTCTACAGTAGTAGGAGGTGGGGCCTGGTTAGCAGGTGAGTCACTGCAGGCTGTCTTGGAAGAGTACTTAGCTTCCTGATACTTTTCCCCCTGTGCTTTGCCTTCCTGCTGCCCTTAACAAGAGCTGCTTTGTTGAACTACTGCCCGTCCACTTGGCTGGCCACAGACTGATGCTCCAGCCGACTGCCGTGACTGATCTTCTACCTCACTTCCTTTAATTTGAAGGTTTCAAACATTTTGTTTCATAAATGGGAAAGCTGACTAAAGCACATGTCTTTTAAATTTTGTATTCTTGCTTCAAATAAATTTCCCTGAGAAAATCTGACCCAAATATTTCATGCGAAAATTTACTGGGAAATGGATTTGGAATCAGTATGCATATAATTTTCTTAAACGGAAGAAAGGCATGTTGACCTTTGTAACTTGTATTCTTCAGTCATTAAAGTGAAATGCCTGTGGAATTAATAGCTTTTGGTCAGTGTTACTCCTTGTAGTGGAAGAAAAAAATGCCCTGTGAAGGACGAAGTTTTGAACTATCAGCCTCCAGTGCTTCAGAAACACAGCAAGGGTCTGAATGATGAGATTCTGCTTACTTCACGGAAATTTGCCCTTTCTAAAAAGAGACCACTTAAAGCCGTAGAATGTTACCTTTTGGGGGGAAATCTCTAGGAAGATTAGCGAGAGATATAGCCCTTGTCTCTGTGTCCAGTCTCAAGAGCACAGTTGACACCTATTTTCTCCAGATTGTCTTCTCCCTTCTACAGCTCATTCTAGAATTCAGGCATGCTTGGGCAACACATGTAAGTCAACACCTACACTGACTTATGTGTTTTGCCTCATACAGTGATACAGATCCTCACCAAGGAAGCTGAAAACTCTTCTCACCTCTCCTTGGTTAGGCCTTTTATTGGATTATTCAAAGTTAGTTCCTCTGTTTTCTTTGAATCTTAATTTCATTTTTCTCAAGACTAGTCAATTTTCCAATTGAAAAGATCACAGACCAACTTGAAATATGTGAGTAATAAATTAGTTTGGTGATCTTCATTTTTTTTACTTATAAAACTAAAGTACAGATTTATTGTGGGTCTTAAAAATGTTTTCAAAGTCCCAATATATAATTGGTAGTGAATTTTTGCTAAGCATTTTAAAAAGTATTTACTAAAGATTTTAAAATTCCTAAAAATATCACTGTACAGCTAAACAAGAAGGAATATGTCTTCCATTAACTTGGGGCACTGATTATAGATATCTGGTAAAATAGAAGTTTACTGGGCAGATCTGAGTTGCATTCTCTATTTTAATCTAAAGCTTACCTAATAGGATTTTTTAAATTAATTGGCCTCAGGCTTTATGTTTTATATTTTCATTTTGAAATAATCTAATTTTTGCATTTAGTTTGAAGTGCCCTTTATTTTATCTTTTTATATTTTAAAAACATGTTTTCTGGCTTTGAAATTTAGGGGCTAAAGGTTTAGCTCAGTGGTGCAATGCCTACCTGGCAAGCCTGAGGGCCTAAATTTAATAATCAGTTCCCTTCCTGCAAAAAAAGGTATACACTGGCATCTCTTCGGGTTGTATAAATCTTTCATCTTTTTAAAAAGTATGCATATTATAACAGTTGAAACATTAATATTCATATATTTCTTCTTTATTCTGTTACTGAAAGATTACATTAATGTTTTTATATAACATATATATATATAAAAACACATATACAGATGTAAACATAAACATATTACATGTGTATAAATTTATACTTTTAAGAATACAAAGGTAGTGTTACATTGTGTCATTCATTCAAAATCTTTAGATCATAGTTCTCTGCACAAGTCTCAGGTCTTTGTTTATAAAGTTGTGCTACAAATATTATTTACTTTATAAACTTGCTTGAATTAACTGAGAAAACTTTGTGACACACAAATATCTATGAACCATTTATGCATTTTTTAAACATGTGAGTCTCATTGTGCCATGCCTCTCATATCGCAAATAACAGCCATTATCATTATTCTTTGCCTGAATCCCAAAATGGTGTTTTGTTTCAGTATTTTTCTCACCTCCTCATTGCGCAAAGAGAACAATGGCTTGAAACGTTGGTTGGGTAAATACTATATTATCATAATTACAATTTTCCTGAGAAAAGTGGCTTGCAGTTTGAATATTCAGCATCTTAATTACAATTTCCATAAGGATTGTAGAACAGTTATTATAAACAACACAATAATCTCTGGGTCCATAAGGGAGAACAGATTATTAGGGGAATGAGGAGAGAAAAGTTTCAAAAGTCTGTGTTCTAATCAGAATTCAAGACTGGAAACAGAGAACCACAGAATGAATTGTACTGGCTTCTTAAAATATGCTTACTTGAATTTATGGAAAAACCTTATAATGATTGTAAACTTTCATAGGTTGATTAAACGTTGCCTGTGTAATTTTTCTTTTACATGCTTTCTTTTTATCATTTTTATTAAACATCCTCTTTGTATCTTTATTCATTGTCATTCATAATTACTATACCATCAAGATATTGTCAAAGCAAATTCTCACAAAATATAAGAAGCACAAAATATTTAAAAACAGTTTAGGAGGAAAAGGTTCATCTAGTATTTCTCCACAGTTAAGTGCTTCCACTTTGTCCAACAGAAAACGGGTAAACTTTTTTAAAAAGAAAAGAAAATGCCTTTTTCATTGGTTAAACTGCTTTAATTATCTTTATCTTAAATGTTTCTTTTTTTTTCTTTCTATTTTTTAGATAAAAGTGAGAAAAGACAGAATGCAGCCTCAAGGTTGGTCCTTTTCACGATATCATAAAGCATATATACTAATATGACATAGTACAAAAGTAGCAAAGCTTTAAATGGCATTTTGTTTTCACTTCTTTTATGGATGGGAATGTACAAGGCAGGTTTTTAACCAAAGACATTGTAACATCCAAACATAATCACTGATTAAATCTTTGGTAAAATTGTGAGTTTGGAAGTATTCATCTTTCCACTCCATCCATTCATCATTCCATCCATCTACCATTTATATATTTTTTTTCAGTGAGTGCTTATCATGTACATATTGTGTGGGAAGTCTTGTAATCGGATTTCCCTCTGATCATGTTTTATTACACTGACATTCATCAGAGTTACCATCTGACCCCTTTTTAAAGCATTTCCTGGTATCTCAGTCAACAAACATTCACCTATTATTGCAGGTCTTCGGTTTAACTTGCAATTTCTGACAGCTGAGCTGGGTTTTCCCAACAATGCCCAACTGACACATGTTTAAATATGTCTGCTCTCAAATAGCTGGAAATTGTCAGAGTAATAAAAAGAAATGACTGTCTGAAATAATGGATTGTATGATGTATTTGTGTGGGGAGGTGGTATAGAATTCTCTAGTGTCAGTTATTTTTTTTTTTTTTTGAAAATTCTAGTAGATAGGTCTTGTATTCCTCTACCTTTTAAGTCTTTTAAGACTTCCTGATCAAGAAACAAACAGGTGTGTTATTACTATGCATTTTAAAGCAAAAAAGGCATCACTAGTCAGGCAGCAGATAGGACATGTATAGAATCACTGTAAGAATGACAGTCATGGATGAAAGACATTTTCATGGAGGTGAAGTCTAAAAGTTTTCTCCTGAGCAAAACTTGATAAATCAAGATTAACAGAGAGTTTATTAAACTAATTTAAAATAGATCAATATTGTATCATTTTAATTTAGGTTGTGACTTTATTGGTATATTTTAATAAACATTAATATACTTATGAAAGCTTTCTAAATTTCATTACTGTGTTGATTTCCCCAATCTTTTTTTTTAAAATAAAGTCTTGTGGTCCTCAATAGAAAATTCTACTATCAGAGGAGTTTTCTCAAAGCATAACTGTCATAATTGGGAAGGGAATCCCACAGCTGTCTGCCTTCCTAATTTAATTTAATCTAAAATAATCTAAATCATTCCAACTATCAATATAATTAATTGAAATATTAGAAGATAGTTTGCAGTAATTCAAAAGCTGGGTTGTGGAATCACAGTTCTGGAATCTAATCCAATTTTCCCATGTATTATCTGTGTATGTTGGGCAAGTTTATTAATGGCAGTAACCCTGATTTCCTCACTTGGAAAAATGAAAGAAGCAATGCTATATACCCAATAAAATTCCTATGAAATAAAAGACATGATATATTTACAGTTACTTTGTCATGTTGTAAGAATGCACTGAGTGATACTTGTCAGTCTTCCTGTGGTGCTATATACCGTTACTGTTAGCAGCATTTCCAGAGCTGGCAGCACCTTCCCATCTTTGAAATAAACTTCCTGCGTGGACTAATTTCCAACATCCCACCAACAGAGATGTATTCGCTATACAAGAAGAGTTTGTTCCATGTGAAAATATAAATCACACTAGAATCTCCATCAAATTGAAATATCCTGTTGCCACAAATTGCATTGTGCTTTATTTTCTTAGATCTAACATTTTTATCATTATTAAGCAAGGTGAGGGAAATAAGCAATCTGAGTGATTACTGAGGAAAGAGAAGAAAAGTTAATGCCAACTTCAAATCTCATATAGATGGAATCAGCAGTGCCTGCAAGTTTGTAGAACATCCGTAACTCATGGTGAGGTGAGGTTTGGCAAGCAGAGGTGGGCCACAGTTGACTTTCAGGAGAGCTCAGAAGCTATTCTTCCTTGGCAACAAATGTAGTAGGATGGGAAATCTGAGGGACAGAATGGAAGAGAAATCTAAAGGGATATAATTAGAGATCTATTCTTTCTGGCGACGTCGTGGCTTTTGTGTGTATTATGTGTCCTCCTGTACCAATGTAGGTGAAGAAAGCACTGCTGTCTTGGTTGAAACTGGCGCGTGACCTCAAAATAGAGTGGTTACATACAGAGCAATAGCAACAGACTCTGTGTCCTGGAGCTTGTGCTGAGCCTAGAGGCAGGGAATCCTACTTTGTTCAGCTTAATCCAGCAAGGCAAATTCCACTTGTTTGATTGTATGGGAAAGAGAGATTTGCCGGCTTTACAAGCTGCTAGATTGTTTCCAGCACTTACTATGGTAGTTGTGTAAATGGGTTTGTTTAGAATTTCTGTGGAAAAAGACATCTCTCTGTTAATATAGAAAATGACATCTGTAATTTTGGTACAATAGAAACTGCCACTTTTTGGAAGGTACAATCCCAGCACTCAGGAGGTTGAGGTAGGAGGATTTTCTTGAATTGGAGGCAAGCCTGGGTTATGCAGTGAGCTTAAGGCCGGCCTGAACTACAAAGCAAGACCCTATTTCAAAAACATTAAAAGAATTAAAAAAAAAAAAAAAAAAAGAGATTGCAGCCTGTTTTATTCTCTGCACCATGATAGATTACTATTTTTCAAATCGTAGGTTGTAAAATCAAATTAGTAGATTGTCATCAGAGCTTTTTAAAAAAGCGAAAAGGAATACAAATATAAATCAGTAACAATACCAATTGCCACATATATTATCATTCAAGTAAAGTAAGGTAGCAGTGTAATTCATAGTCTGGGCTGGGAGATAACAAATTCCATATAGAACTTATATATAAGTACACCCAGATGGCCATATTGTGTCATTCTGTAATGACAAAGTGTTACAGTTGTATGGTTGTGTCCAAAATTCATATGTTGAAGTCTTGTTCTCCCGGGTAATAGTATTGAGAGGTGCAGCCTTTTTCCAAGCAGCTAAGTCACAAGGGAAGAACCTCCCCAGAAATGTGGCTCAGGACAACATGTGAGAATCCCGAAGGCACTGTCTATGGGAAAGCAGCCCTCCCCCCACATGCATCACATCGGCCTACACCTTGATCTTACACTGAAAAATAAATATTTGCATTTCATGAAGTACCAACTTGATAGTACTTTATTCTTCCATTCCAAATGGGCTTATTCTTACCTATAAGGTTCTAACATATTGTTAGATTGGAATGGAACTGTAATTTGCAAATTGGACTCCAGAGTTAAATAGTAATACTTAACCTTCATCCCTGAAAGTTCAGTACTATCATGGAGAAATTAAAATGGGAAATAATTTTAATAGTTCCAGGTGCCCCTAAGGAAACACTGAAATATTTGAAGATGCCCAGTTGTGAAATTGTTTATGACACTGTCTGTTCCTGTGTCTTATTATCATTCAATCCCTTATGCATGCTCTGTGTAAATGTTTATGATAGCTTGAGAGAGCTAGTGTAGGTGTATTCATAACTTTCCCATAGGTACCACAGATACTTAGACATAAACGTACTTTAGTTATTGTTTATGTTAATCTTTTCCATTTTCTTCAAATAGTAAAATCCAGGCTCCTAGAGGTGGTGACCCTAAGTCAAGGGGTAGACAAAGGTCAGGTAGAGACCACAGTAACATTGCTTAATTCTCTCCTTACCGTTAGGCAACCGAGTCTGCTTGGTAAGGAACTCAGGAGACAGAAACTGTTCCTAACACATAACATTCTGTGTCATAATGTTCCCTGAATAAATAAATAAATAAATTTACTTAAGTGAGGATTGAACCTAGAACCAGGCCCTGTTTTTATTTTTCTGTTTTGAGATACATTCTCGCTAAATTGCTAAATTGTCTAGGCTAGTCTCAAACTTGTAATCCTCCTGCATCAGCCTCTCAGAGTTGAATTAGAGACACCATCAAGATGTCCAAGTGTTCTGCCATGTTTAAGTATTTCTCGATACCCTCTTACTTACCTGACTCTATTCTGAGGTTCGTGAAGGTAGAATTCATGGTTGCTATTTCTCCATACTTTCCCCATATTTATAAGGTTCTGAGTTAATGGTGGGGTGATTGTTTTGATTCTTGATCTTATTCAGAATATTTGGTTTTTACCAATCTTCTTTAGAAGATCCAGAAAAAGTCTCAAAAAGAACCTTTCAAATGGTTGCATTTGGGGATGAAGATGTAGCTCAGTACTAGGGTACTTACCTCAGCTGTGTAAGACCGTGAGTTCCATCCCCAACACCGAAAAAAAAAAAAAAAAGCCTGGAATTTCTTTAGTTTAATGCTGCTTACCAACTAAATCATTGGTGAGCTGATAAACAGTAGAGAATGCCTATTGAAAATATGAATGGATGCATAGGTTGATAATTGGGAAGGTCCGAAGGCTACGCATTGGATGGTTCAGTGGACTGAATTTTTAAAGGACTGAAGAAAAGTTAGAAATAAGAAAACTAATTTCCTTCTTACTATAGATTCCAGATCTAATTTCCTTTTGACCTTCCTGTGTATTTTGAAAAGAGGATGTGATTCTTATTTTCATGTCAGAGCTATTTAGTATTTTCACACAGGCAGTATTGTGTTTATATTTGAGCACTACAAATTTAGAAGGCTACAAGTAACCTATTTTGTTCTGTAAAATATACAGAAATGTCATTTGAGGAAGCACAGATTATCAATTTAATAATCAATTAAAGAAATTCCAATATTCAGTTGACCCTAGCACCTACCAGTAATCAGGAGAGGAAAGAAAAGCAGACTGAAAGTGTAAACATAATTTAAGAAATGGAAGTGGATAGACACTGGGCTACCAAGCCAGGTGCTATCTTACCCAGCACTTGAGACTTAATGTTTGAGATTAATTCAGCTGGAGAAGCACTGAATACCAGGCACAACTAAAGGAAGGGTCGAGATATCCCACTGGAAAGAGAGGAATTATTAAGTCTATCAAATTTATTAAACAAAAGTGTTCTTATTGAAAATGAGATCATTAACTTACCTTAATTTGGTTGCCTGAACTTTGAAAAGCAACCTTGCCTACCCAAGACCAGAAAAT